CTCGCTGCATCCTGCTCCTGTTCTCCGTGTGCTGGGCACAAACAGATGCTGCCAGGAGGTTTTGGAGCCTGGCACCGTTCCTTGTGACTCGTGGGTCGGTGACTTTTTGCCTGCAGGGGACAGCAGATGGGTCAGAGGGGGTGGGTGAGCACACCCCTCCTCACCTGCCCTGCTGGGATCTGCCCCAAAACCCCACCACGGTGTGCTGGGTTAATGTGGAACCTGCAGATCCTGCAAAATGTGTCCCAGGTTAAACTGTTCCTGCAACGCCACGGCTGCTGTGTTTGCTTTGGCCRGGGATCCTTCTCCTGCTTTTCCCTTCTTTTGTGACAATGGGATTGCTGGTGGGGCAGCAGAGCCAAAGGCAGCAGGCAGAAATTCTGCAAATACCCCAGAATAAGGCAAATTGTTGCTTTTGCTCAGGAACTTTGGGGAAGATTCTGCAAAATTCTGCAAATATCCCAAAATGTGGCAAATTGTTGCTTTTGCTCAGGAACTTTGGGAAAGCTGCTGCAAAATTCTGCAAATACCCCAAAATGTGGCAAATTGTTGCTTTTGCTCAGGAACTTTGGGAAAGCTGCTGCAAAATTCTGCAAATTCTCCAAAATGAGGCAAATTGTTGCTTTTGCTCAGGAACTTTGGGAAAGCTGCTGCTGGTTTCTCATGGCAATGCTGACCCAACAGCCATTGGTGCTCTCAGGGAAGTTTCAGCAGCTTCACTCTTCACACTCCCATCCTAAACAAGCTGAAACCCATCTGAAATCCGTATGAAATTCATCTGAAATTCATCTGAAGTAAATCTGAAATTCATCTGAAGTATATCTGAAATTCATCTGAAGTATATCTGAAATTCATCAGAAATTCATCTGAAATCCATGCCAAGTCCAGGTGCTCAGCCATGGGAGCGTGCCCCATGTGTCCCTGAGAGCCTCAACCTCCCTGTCCCACAAGGAAAACCCTTTCCCCGAGGGAACCTTTGAGGTTTGCCCTTTATCCTTGCCTTGCCTTTTTGGGGTCCAGCTGAAGGGTGCCCACCCCTGTGCCCTTGCAGAGCCAATATCCCATTATCACACTTTCACTGGGAAAGGGTCGCACTCCCCTCGCCAAAATCCTTCCTGGCACTCACAGTGCAAGTGGTTGTGGGACAATAAAAGAGGTTTGTGCCTCCAGGGGAGAAATAAGAATGCAAATATCTCTGGCATGAAAAAAAAAAACCCCAAAGCGATTTGCTCCTTGGTATTTCTTGTCAGTGCTTTGCATCTGTCTGTGCCTCACCTTCTCATTCCTTTCCTTTGGGCTTTCCAAGAGCAATAAGGCTTTGGGGAGCGATGGGGGCTGCAGGGGCCCTGTGGGGGGACGGGAATGGTGCTGCAGCCTCTCCAGGGCTTCCCAGCTCTGCTGTAAAACCCTTTTTCCTCACTTTATGGGGTTTCCCTGCTGCCAGGATTCTTTTCCCCGGCACATCCATCGCAGAGCCGCACCAGGACCTGCCTTTTCATCATCCCGGGAGCACGGCTGCGCTTCCTGGGCTCTGTAATCCTGGGGGAAGCAGAGCGAGAGTCCTGTCCGAGGGCATAAATCAGCCGGGAGCTGGCAAAGGGGGCGGGATAGGGAGAGCAGGGGAGCCGGGCCCCCGCGCCGCGCCGCCGGATGGCTCCGGCACTTCCACTTCATTTATTCTGCCGGGCTTTGCCCAGCCCTGCTCGGCATGTGAAATGTTTTCTCTGAAAGAACCAGCAGCGAGATGGGTGAAAAACATTCTCCTGTCCCAGGAGCTGGCAGGAATCCTGGTAAATCTGCAGAAGTATGTTTTTTTGTCGGTGCCGCTTATTCTGCGAGGGGGAACGAGGATAAACTATTCCAGGAGAAAACCTTTTTTCCTGGAATAAAGCGCTGCCTGTGCTCGGAGCATTGTCGGGATGGTTGTGCTGGGAATGGAGCTTTGCTGGTAAATATGTGAGTGCTGAGGGGCCCAGTGGGGCAGGCACAGCTCCTGCACCCTCTGCCCCACAGGCACACCCCTCTCCTGGTACCTGCTGCCCTTTTTGTGCTTGAATCAAAATCTCTGCAAGCTTGAATTGCAAACAAAACACTGATTTATTTTTCTGCCCCTCCAGRCTGTGGCTGGACATCTCCCAATGGGGTCAGGGCCAGGAGCCTCCCCATGGGGACACATCCCCATCCCAYGTCACTCTGCAGCTGTGGGCTCAGCACAGCCTGCTCAGTGCCTGCCTCAGTTTCTCTGAGCCCGGCTGGCATCAGGGGTGACACTGGGAGCTCCTGAGTGGTCCTGGATGACAGCAARTTCCTGCTCCAGTTCGGATTTCTCATCCCTTGCTGTGTCCTTATCTCCTCGTGGCCGGGATGGGGATCCTGCTGGGGCTTCCAGAAAAGCCACCGGGGTGGGTTTGGGCTGGAGATCAGAGCTGGGACCCCCAGAGTGGGCAGTGAGCCCCGGGGGCTGGTGGGGGACAGCTCAGCACAGCTTGGGTGCTTCAAAGGGCCGCAGGTTCCTCTGAGCTCCMGCCGCTGCTTTGCTCTCCAGGCAGGCGTGAAAATGTGCAAGAATGTGAAAAATGCGAAAATGATCCCGCTGGCCCCAAGATTTGTAATCTTTCTGGTTAATGTGTAATAAATACATGACAGACGCTGCCAGTGTGGCGAGGGTGACCCCTCCGTGGTGGCACTGCCAGCGGTGACATCCCAGCGAGCCATCTCCCCTCCCGCTCCGGGGCCAGCCCTGCGGTGTCCGGGCTCAAGAGCCTTTGGGGCTTTTCCGAACTGGTTTATCTGGTTTGGATTCCTGCAGGCTGCGGCTGGCAGAAGGCAGGTGGTTTATTTGTTTAACGCTCCCCAGGTCCAAGGTGCGCGCTGTGCCCGCCCAGGAGCTGTAGGATAAGCCCGAGCCATCCTGGGATCCTGGCAGCGATCCCACCCGGGCAGCTCATCCCGCTGCAGACACCTGGGCAGCGTTTCCTGCTTGGCACCGGCTGAGGTGCAGCATCAGCAGCCTGGGGAATCTCTCCCGAGTCTTTCTTTTTGCAAAAAGAGCTGGAAGTTGGTGATTCAGCGCTGGGTGGGTCTCTGGTGCAGCGGTGAGCACGGAATGGGATTTATCCCGGGGAGGCTCCCACCTTCTCCTGGGGGATTGTGTACATTGTGGGGCGGGGGCAGAGCCAGCACGGKCCGGAATCGCTGGGAATTGGAGCTGGAAAGGGTCAGAGAGGGCTCAGAGTGCAGTGGGGTTGATGCCAAGGGATGGCCTCATGCTCCTCCAGGGTTTGGATGTGCTCTGGACGTGCATGTTCCACCGCCGTGTTCTGCCTCGCCTTCAAACGGCCCCCGAGCATCAGGGATCAAGGAGTTCTGTCTGATGCTAATGCATGAATTTCAGCCCTGGGTGACTTGCCCTGTAATTTAGAGAGGAGAGAGTGTCCTTTGGAAATGGTTTGGGTTGTTTTTGTTAGCTGTGTCATCCTGGCATCCCTCCCCACAGCAAATGGAAGGGACGGAGGTTTGTGGGTTCGGCCGCTTCCAGAGGTTTGCTCGGTTTTTCCGTGTGGCTGCAGGTGCAGCTGGGTGTCCCTGGCACAGCTGTGGGGTCAGGGCCACCCCTGAGGAACAGGACGGGGTCTGGGATGGTGCTGAATGAAGGATRTTTGGGGAGGGTGGGATTTGGCACAGAGACCACGCTCAGCCTGGCAGAGGGGCCGGGGGAAAGGATTGGGTGCTGTGCCTGCCCAGAAAGCCTGGGCACCGACTGCCTGAGGAGCTCAGCTCAGCTTTGGCGCTTTATTTTGCCCCAAAAGCAGCACAGGGAATACCCTGCTCCATCATCACCCTCTGGAGAGCCCCGGCTGGGGGCTGGGATGGGGCTGGGCTCACCCTGCCCATGCCATTTCTGTGCGTTGGTRGCTCAGTTCTGTGCTGTCCTTGGCCCAGCTGAGCTCAGCTCCCGAGCAGGGGGTGCTGGGCCAAAGCAGAGCTGCTCCTTTCAASTTCCCATCCATGAGGAAATCCAAGGAAACAGCAAAGGAAAGTTTGTTTTGAAAATAAAGACGAYTTAGCTGCCATCAGATATGTGCAGACACCTAATCTGGGTCTTTGGAGCTTTGGGGGTGCAGAGCAGGACCTGAGCTCGTTGGGGCAGGGCTGAGCAGCCTCTCCCACGTCTGAGCCCCTTCTCACCACCCACCCCCATTAGCTGATGTACCGAGAGCCTCCAGGCTTCATAAATTAACACTCTGGGCCATGAATTATGAATGGAGCCACACCTCTGATCACTGCAGCGCTCTGCTGACAGCCCAGGAGCTGCTGATCCAAGCGACAGCCCCAAGCTTTTAAAGATGTGAGCAGTGAAACCTGGGAACAATTTACTTGGCAAGCTGCAAACCTCTTGTCCTACACATGGGGCTCATCCTATTCCCCCTACTGTCCCGTTCTCCTCTTTTTTTTTTTTTTCCCAGGATTATCTTCTCTGACCTCTCTGTGTTAATGGACATTGTCCTGCTCGGTTGTGACCATCCCGTGGTTGTGACCATCCCATCCTTCATGGCGCATTCCTGCCCTGTGCCTCTGGTACCAACCGGGGCCAGCGCGGGGCCCTATGGGGTTCTGGCCATCCCCAAGCTAGGGACAGGACCCCACAGCATCCCCACAGCCAGTGCAGAGCTCCTGGTGCAGATCTCAGCGGGATTTTGGCAGATCTCTGCAGCTCCATCTCCCTTTGGCCACGAGCGTGTGCTCAGGACRTCGCATCCCCAGCTCCATCTGCTCCGTGGAGCTCTGCCACATCTCTGTCCCTGCCACCGCTCCTTGGGGGGTTTGTCCTTGAACCTCTCCATCTCTGGAGGCCAWATCCTGCCCTGAGCAGCTGCATGTGCTTAATCCTGGGTGTTCCTGAGGTTTTTTTGCCTTGTGGATTTTTATGGATTCCTCCAGGCAGYGGTGGGGCAGCAGGAGCAGAACTCAATTTGCACAGCGAGCTTCAGACTCTTGTCAGTGGTCACAAATGAAGGCAAATCCCTGCAGGATCCCCTCTCGTGGTGCTGTGCCCCCCGGAGCCCTCCGGGGACAGCAAAGGGAGCAGCGCTGCTCCCGGGGATRGCAGGAGCACGGGAAACACCCGCAGGAAAGGGCTGCTCCTTGCTCCCAGTCCTTCCCAGCTGAGCCACTGCGAGCCAGGCAGCAGAACTTCAAAGCCAAAGCCTCTGCAGAAGGTGTTTTGCCCCGGGCTGGGTGCAGGAGCTCTCAGYGCAGCGCTGTCCTGACTGTGTTTTGTTTCCCTTGCGCAGGGGATGCTGTAGCTGTGCCTGGTGAAGGACGGACTGACAGAACCCCGGCAGTTTTTTTTCTCCTCYCGGAGGCCGAGGGGCTCGAGTCTGCAGGGAAGGAGCCGTTTTTGGACACAAACATCCCCCCGGCTGCGGCGAGGGGAGAGGAGCCGCCGCCGCCGCCGCGGATCGAACCCGCTCCTGCAGGGGAAAACACCGCTTGGGTTTGGTGTCTAATTAGATATTTACCAGGAAGGAAGGAAAGATATAAATAGGGTGACAGTGACTTCAAAGGGTGTTTTTTGACTTCTAAGAATAACACCTTYGCTGGCGCCGATTTCGGGAATATCAGCCGTGCCGGGGTGCGAAAGRCGGAGGAGGTGTCGCAGCTCGGTCGGCAGCCAAGGGAGCAAACGCTGACCCCCGGCCCCACGGCAGCAGCTGAGGAAGGAAGGGACAGAGCCCTGGAAAGCTCAGCTGCGTCCACAGGGGCACAGCAGAGGGAATCTGGGGTGGACGAAGCCGCCGGTGCCGCAGCGGGGGCGGGAGGGGACGTGTGGCACCATGGGGACAGTGACAGTGTCCCTGTCCCTGTGGGCAGTGCTGGCGCTCGCCCTGGGGCTGCTGGGGCTCTGGGCTCCCTGTGTGCTGAGCGAGCAGCCCAATTTCATCGTCATCCTGGCCGATGATGTAGGGTGGGGGGATCTGGGGGCCAACTGGGCAGARACCAAGGAGACCCCGCACTTGGATCAGATGGCTGCCGAAGGGACCAGGTAAGGGCTGTCCCCTTCCCCGCCCTCAGCCAGCAGCCCTGCTCACTCTGTCCTGCAGCTGAGGGGAATTCGGCCCCGTGGAACGGGCAGGAGAGAGGATTTCACTGGTGTGGGTTTGGCTGCATGGCGAGGGCAGCCAGAGCCTGGTACCTTGGGGTGCAGCTCCACCCATCCCTGCTGGAACCTTCATCTCCCACGCCCCATCCTCATCCCCAGAGCAAAAGGGGATCAAGGAGGGACAGGGCAGCGTCTTTCACTGAGTGAAGAGTCTTCTTCCTTTCCCAGGTTCGTGGATTTCCACTCAGCTGCCTCCACGTGCTCCCCATCCCGCGCCTCGCTGCTCACGGGGCGCCTGGGYGTGCGCAACGGGGTCACCCACAACTTCGCCATCAGCTCTGTCGGGGGCCTCCCCCTCAACGAGACCASCCTGGCCGAGGTCCTGCGGGGGGCTGGCTACACCACGGGGGCCGTAGGTAACGCCCAGATGGCGGGGAGGTGACAGCAGGTGACAATGGGGCCCTCGCAGAGGAGGGGCTGCGGGCGCTCGGGTGAAACGCTGGCAGCGAAAGGAAAATCTGAAAGATCACGTGAGAGAGAGAGATTTCACACATCCCCCTCGGATTTTGTAATGCTGAGCTTAACATCTCCCTTTTCGACAGCGCAGCCGGAAATCCAGACTTCTCCATTTCGTCTCGAGCTGCTTTACCCTGCGAGGAATGCACTGGGTGTTCCTCAGCGAGCAGGACGGCGCTCTGCCATCCTGCATCCCGCTGATCCCGCAGCTTTGGGCACCTTCCCATCGCTGTGGGTCCCCCCAGGGTGGCACAAGTCCTTTGCACCCGCAGCTCCTGCTGTTGTGCACAAAATCCCTCTTTTTCTCCCATTTCCCCCCAGTTTTTGCAGCTCTCCCTCTGGTTCGGTGGGAGCGGGTGTGTGCCGGGGGTCAGGAGCTGGACCAGAGGATGGAGCTGGCTGCTGGGGAGGGCTCAGAAAGCCGCCTGCTCCGAGTACAGACACATGAAAGAGCCTTTTAAGGCTGGAAACAGGCGCTTTGCACAGGCACCAGATACCTTTTCGCATTTTTTTTCTGGGTTTTTCTACAAAARTAGAAAGACGGCGTTCTGGAACCGYGGCCAGCAMAAACAAGGAGCCTTTCYCGTGGCTCSATGAAAGCCCCCAGCGCTGCGGGGCTCTGGGTGAGGGCTGTGGGTGAGRGCTGTGGTGGCCGGGGCTGTGTCACCTCTGAAATGATGTTTTGTGGCTTCCCCGCAGGCAAGTGGCACCTGGGACACCACGGCCACCACCACCCCAAYTCCCGCGGTAAGGGCCGGGTTAGGGGGGCCGGGCTGATGGCCCTGCGGTCACCTCGGCCCTGCTGACCCCTCCCTCGCCTCTCAGGCTTCGACTACTACTATGGGRTCCCCTACAGCCACGACATGGGCTGCACGGACAGCCCTGGCTACAACGTGCCCCCGTGCCCGCCCTGCCCGCGGCGCGGCACCGCCGGCAGGTACGGGCTGTGGGGTTCTGCTGCTGCCACGGGGACCTGGGGGTCTGCAGCGGTGTCCCCAGCCCTGAGGGCTGTCCCTGGCTGTGGYCACCTCCCCCCGTGCTCCCTGAGCCCATTTTCCCCTGCAGGGTGTGGGTTGGGAGCACCCCGTGCCTTTGGGATGTTGTCACCGCTCCGTTTCTTCTCCCTCCTCGGCTTTCTGGGAGCCARGAGAACCCCCAGGCTCTGTCCCTGCTGCGGTGACAGCCTGGCGTGGCTCTTCCCAGCAGGGTGGCGAGGAAAGGCTGTTACACGGAGRTCGCCCTGCCCCTCCTGGAGAACGCCACCATCGTGGAGCAGCCCGTGCAGCTCGGCAGCCTGGCCATGCGCTACGCGGAGGCGGCGGAGCGCTTCATCCAGCGGGCCAGGTGAGGCCACCCGCTGTCCCCCGGCTGTCCCCTGGGCTGGGACAGGCTCTGGGTCACTGCGGGGCTCCTCTGGACCGTGCTGGTGCAAGGCCAGGGCAGTGAGATGGGTGTCGCCCTACGGTTCAGATTTGGCTCGCAGCTGGATGAGGCACTAAGGGTGTCACGGGTATCCTCTAAGGGGCTGAGTGATTCTAAAACCAACATTCTTGCCTTTGAGTGGGGCTGGGCCTCCTTCCTGGGGGAATGGGCATGATGGCAAGGCTGGTGGGGGTGGCAGGGAGGCAAACACAGCCATCGGCCATCAGTCTGTCCATCCCGAGGTGGCAATGGGGTGGGAAGTGCTGAGCAGGCGCTGAACGGTGCTCAGGGTGGGACCCGAACAGCACCCAGAGCTGTTGGAACACGCCCCACGTGTGAGATTTGATCAGTTTTTACGGATAAAGCCCTCTGAGATCCCCGGGGTGTCAGGATGTGCCTCCCCCAGCCTCGCAGGACGGGCGGCGCCCGGGTGAGTTTGTCCCCGAGGAGCCAAGTGGCTCCTGCGAGTGCCGCCCCCGAGCCCTGCGGACGGGTTGTGTCACTTTAATCCCCTTTATTGGCGGATTACGAGCTGTGACTTTGCAAAATGCCTCCCTGCAGAGCGAGGAGAGGAAAGGAGAGGAGAGGAAGCGCTGCCGGGCAGCCCTGTCTGAGCCCATCCCCTGCCTGCACCCCGGGACAACGCGGGTCTGGGGGAGGAACGGGGCTCCCTGGGGGAAGATTTGTGAACCAGAGGTGAATGGAGGGCTGGCCAGGGAGCAGCAGTGGGGAAAGGGCTCTTTACAAACCCCCCGTGCTGGCGTTTATCCCTGTGGGTACCAAGGATCGGCCATGGGGTGGCCTGGCCACGTTTGGGATGCTGAGGGTACCCACACCCTGGGTTGTGGGGCAGCCTCAATCCTTTCTCCTGCCAACCCCCCCCCAGCCCTCCAGGCTGTTGTTTTGCTGTGAAACCAAGTGTGTGAGCTCCGGGTTAATAGGAAAAACCTTTAAACTCCCCGAAGTGTTGTGGGGTTATCTGCGTTCATGGAAAACAGGATTAGACAGGTGCCTGCCTTTTCTCCCCGTCCCTTTGATGGCTCATTCCAGTTTTCTCCTGCCTGACTCATTCATTGCAGGGCAACAAAAGAACGCTGGATTTGCCATCTGGGTGTTTTTTTAACCAGTCGTGTCAAGGTTGAGCAATTTGTGACAGCGAGACGTGGCACAGCTCGAGCACAAGCGAGCGTGGGAGCAAAAGTCAGGGACTCCTGTCTTCAGTTATTGATTAAACGTTTGCTCCATCATCGGGACAATTCCGAGGTGTCCGTGTGACAAATGAGAGGGATGCTCGGCTGAATATCGCAGCCCTGAGTCCATCTGGGTGCTCCTGGGTGGGGTGGGAGCCAAGGAAAGCAGCTTTCCTCTCTGGCACCCCGTTGGAAAGGGTCACAGTGCCAATTTGCAAAGGGTACCCGGTGTCCCGGGGGCTGGGCAGGGTGCCAGGGGGACACCGCCCTTCACGGGGCTCCAGGGCCACGGGCAGGATGGGGTTTRCTCATCTTCCAGCCCAGGTGGGTGCCGGGCAGAGGAAGGAAGTGCCGAGACGCGCGTTGGAAGGGCCAGGAGGCAGCGATGGGACGGAGCGGCCGGAGCCGGGCGCCTGCGCGGGCTGGACACGGGATCCGGCCCCTCCCCGCCGCTGACCATCCCACCCTTCCCCTCCGAGGTCCCTGAGGAAGAGCAGGCCTGGTCGGAGCAGATAAATATAGCTGTAAACAAGCAAACAGGACGTGTCCCGCGGTGATTTAGGGGCGAGCAGGCGGCGGCGAACCCCGCGCTCCCTGTGCGGGGCTGTGCCCAGGGGTGGCCTGGGTGTCCTGCTGTCCCCCWTCCTCTGCCCACATCACCAGCGAGGCCGGGCACTGGCTGGGGAGGGGACAAAGGGCCAAAATGGGTCCCCTGGGAGAGGGGAGGGCGGTGTGCGGGTGTCTGGGGTGCACCAGAATGTGTGTTCGGCTGCTGGAGATGGACAAAGGGGTGAGCCCATCCCAAATAGGGGGACAGCTGACAACGGGGTGACAATGGGGAGCAGGGGACAAGTGGCTCAGCTCAGCCCAGCCTCCTCCCTGCGAGAGCAGTGGGTGCCTGCAGGGTTCCCAGCTGGCTGAGGCATGTGGGGTGTTTTTCACCGCTGCTCTGTGTCCCCAGGCTCGGCAGTGCCACCACCCCAGTGACCTCCTGAAAGCCACTGCCTTGCCCCGAGGGCTGAAATTCTCCCTGTGTCCCCTTCACAGTGACAGCGGCCGCCCCTTCTTCCTCTACCTGGCCCTGGCCCACATGCACGTCCCGCTGACCCCTCCGCTGCCCCCCGCTCCGGGCAGGGGCATCTACGGAGCCACCCTGGGCGAGATGGACGCGCTGGTGGGACGGGTCAAGGAGCTCGCTGACCGCCAGGGCAAGGGCAGCACGCTGCTCTGGTTCACAGGTACAGCCAGAAAGCGGGGCTGGGGGTGACTCTGGGGCACTGTGGTTGTGCCCTGCCTTCCGTGTCCCCTCCCCGGATGCCCCACACGCCCTGGAGCTGTCCCAATTTGGGGACAGGGCTCCCAGGTTGCTGTGGCCACCCAGCTGGGTGCCCACCCAGCCACCCCCCTCCGGCTGCGGGGTGCAGCGGCGGGGCCGGGACCAATTAAAGCGCAAATCCCGGTTCATTAAGAAGCCCAAATCCGCTCTGTGTCGCCCTAATGAGGATGTCGCGCTCCCGATGACAGGAACCGCTCATTAACRCCCGGAGCTGGTGGCACCGCACCCCCCTTGCCCTGCCCTGGCTGCGCTCCAGCCCCTGCCCAGCGCTCAAACAAACTGAAAACAAACCWCTAAAAACCCCAAATCCATCAGCCAGCTGCTCTTGCTCGCGTGGGGTGGCAAGGATGGGTGCAAAGGTCACTTGTCCTTGCGTGTCCCCTCTCGGCCCGCTGGCTCTGGTGCCTCTCACGGGGACATTTCTTTCTGTTGCAGGTGACAACGGCCCCTGGGCACAGAARTGTGAGCTGGCAGGACGCCTGGGGCCGTTCGTGGGTGCCTGGCAGAGGCAGCGAGGTAATCTGGCAGWGTTGGGGGGGTCCCAGTCCCGGGGGCACAGGGGGGCTGCTCCACAGAGCTTTCCCTGCCAGGGAGGGGACACGGGTGGCATTTCAACCCCCAATTCACCCTGGCTGCTGCCCTGGCTTTGAACGCACCCCAAAACAACTCAAACAGTCGAGTTTCCCCAAAAACTGCTGCTAGGGGTGGGCTGGAGTCCCCATAACCCCAGAACTCGAGGTGACTGATGCTGTTTTGGAGATGAGATTTTGCCATCGGCTCCACCAAAATCCAGCTCTCACAACCCCCAGCCCCGTCCCATCAGGAACAAAACACCCACCGCCCTCCCTGCACCCCGAGAATTTGCTTTTCTTCCTCTCCACCCTTTTGCTGGGGGTGTTTTTTTGGGTTATTTTTTTTTTTTTCACTCTTTCATCCTTTTTCCGGCCAAGCCATCTGCTTAGTGGGTTTATTTCAGCCCGGGGCGGCCAGAAACATTCATGAGTCAGGCATTTCCCACTTCTGCTTGTATTACGCGGAGTTAACGTGCCATGCTCGGGGTCAGCACTGAGGGGCTTCCTCCTCCTCCTCCTCCTCTTCCTGACACCCCGGCCACGGGATTTGCTTCCCTGGGCAAACCGTGCTGGCTCTGTCCCATTCCCGGAGCTTTTCCTTCGCCTGGCCCCGGGGATGCGATCGTAACCTTAATTTTCTAGTAAACAAACCCYGCTGCCGGCCCCGGGTTGTTGCTCTTGAGCAACCCACGGTCACAAGCCCTCGCAGATGGTACAGAGRCTGCGGCGTTCGGGAACAGGGCGAGGAAAACACGGCCCCTTTCCCAGCCCCTCGCTGCCCTGCAAAACACCCGGGTCCCGCCTGCGGTGGAGCYGGGGGGAGCTCGGGCTGGCAGAGCGCTCCGAGCTGGCTGTAAACACCGGCGGTTTCGGAAATCCCTGTGCCCGTGGTTGTGCGGATGTTTGCAGAGCCGGCCCGGGCTCTGCCCGCGGGATGCTCGCCCTTCCCGGCCCGGCGGGATCGTTCCCGGGCAGGGAAAAAACCCCGAGGAGCGGGAGGGCACGGGAAAACCTCCGGGCTCTCTATGTTTCCATATGTTTTCATATGTTTCTGTAGGTTTCTATAGGTTTTACTATGTTTCCATATGTTTCTATATGTGTCCATATATTGCTATATGTGTCCATATGTTCCTATATGGTTCCATATGTTTCTGTATTTCCATATGTTTCTGCATGGTTCCATATGTTCCTATATGTTTCTATAGGTTTCCATATGTTCCTATATGGTTCCATATGTTTCCATGTTTCTATATGTTTCCATGTGTTTCCATATGTTCCTATATGTTTCTATATGTCCCTATATGCTTCTATATGTTCCTATGTGTTTCTGTATGTTTCTGTATGTTTCTGTGTGTTTCCATGTTTCTATGTTTCTATATGTTTCTGTATGTTTCCATGTGTTTCTGTATGTTTTTATATGTTTCTTTATGTTTCCATATGGTTCCCTATAGATCATATGTTTCTATATTGTTCCATATGTGTCCATATGTTTCCATGTGTTTCCATATGTTTCCATATGTTTCTGTAAGTTTTTATATGTTTCTATATGTTTCCACATGTTCCCATATGTCTCCTGTAGCTCCATCTTTCATTTTAGGGTCCAGCCCAAATCCCAGGGCTGTTTTCCCCTGATTTCAGGTGATTTTTCCCCTGATTTTCTCCGGAGCAGGGGCAGAGCAGCATCTCTGTGTGTGTGTGTATTCTCTGTGCCCCCAGCCCACCCCAAAAATCCCTGAATCCAGCAAGGGGGGGATAGTGGGGTACAGATTTTGGGGATGCGATGCTGGCCGTGTTTTCAGGCAGGTTGGGCAAGTTCCAAACCCCGTGTGCCAGCCCTGAGGACCTGCTGTGTGTGTGGTGGGACCAAGGTTTCCATCCCGCCACGGGAATGCACAGTTCAGCTTTCCTGGAAAGCCTGGAAAGTCCCCACAGCAGCAGGGCTGCATCATCCCCACTCTGCAGAAAATTCCCTGCTTGGGTTTGGGTGTTTGAACCCTGTTTGCTTCCCAAAGTGTTAATGTGACCTCATTCCCAGGCTGCTGTGACCTGACCAGCCAGAGGTGGCTTGGTCAGGAAATATCCCTCTGATGTCCTTCCAGAGCCCCCTGACCATGCATGGAAAATCCCTGCAAAAGCACCCGGCAGGATGAGTTTTTCAATACATGTGCAGAGATGGGGATTGGCGTTAATTGCTGTAATTGCTGCGATCTCCTTTGGTGTCTGAGGGCAGCGGGGAAACACCAAAATTTGGGTGGGGAATGGCAGAGATTGGGGACGTGCTTGATCCGTGCCGGGTCAGGAACATTTTCCCTGGGCCAGTCCCGGTGTCACCTGTGCCATGCGTGTCCCCGTGTGCTTTGGGAGCGCKGATCAGCCCGTGGCACCGGGCAGTGGCCCTGCAGAGGCCGGGCCGGGCTCTTTTGGCCGTGCCCGGAGGAAATGGCTCGGGGCGAGTGCCGTTGCCATGCTCACGCTGAAAGGCAGCGCACAAAAGCTGCTCCTGGCAAAGTTTGCTCGGTGGTTGGGATTTTCTCTTTGCCCCATTCCCAGCCCCTTCCCCCTCCAGCTGCCTGGGGCCCTTTTGGGCTGCAGCCAAGCCAGAGGCTCTCCAGCACCCTTCTGACTGTTTTAATGTTTGGTGTTGCCATTTTGCGGCTCGGCGCCCCAGTTTTGGGGCTCAGCACCCCAGTGCCAGTGCCCAGGAAAGCACCGGGCAGCTTCCCTGTGCATCTCAAACCCAAGGGCAGAGCAGGAGAGCTTTGGGCGCTGTCAGGGAAACGATGGATCAGGTTCATTAACTGGCAGGAGGGTTATTAGCAGGACGGTAATTTTAATGAGGAAGGTTTCCAGCAGGCGAGCAGGGGGGGCTGTTGGTGCTGAGCCCTGCAGAGGACAGAAGCCCCTGGAATCAATTCCTGCATTTCCTGCCCGCTCCATTCTCTCACCTGACATCAAAAGTGGATGGAAATGCGATGGCTCTGGCGGCTGCTGCGTTTCTCATGTCTCACTGGAGCAGAGAAACACAAACCAGTGCCCAACTGTGACCCCCTTCTTTYCSCTTTCCCTTTGAAAACTCTTCTCCYTYGCCTGTCCCAGCTCCTCTCCAGTGAAACCATCCTCCTTTGGGGTGATTTACACCCTCGCTGCCTCTGAGCAGTTCCTCTCCCAGGGGAACTCCKCGCTCGGGAGGTTTTCCCGTATCAGCAGGATGCTGATCGCTGCCCTGTGCCCCTGCAGGTGGGAGCTCGGCGAAGCAAACCACCTGGGAAGGCGGGCACAGGGTGCCAGCGCTGGTTTACTGGCCCGGCCGTGTCCCTGCCGGGAGGACRAGCCATGCCCTGCTCAGGTAGGAGCCCCTCGGTGTCCCCGTTCTGCAGGACCCCCTGTCCCCCCCAGGTCACCACCTGGGTTTTGGCAGCAGCGCTGGTTATTCCTGCCGTGTGCCAGGCTGTCCTCCTGTCCTCTCCCGAGCCTTACAGCTCCAGCAGAGAGGAGCTCAAAGGGCTTTTTGTGAGGCTGGAGGGGCTGGCGCTCGCAGCCACCGGGATCCGTGTGCCTGCCGGCCGCGGCGGCCAAGCGCCTCCCGATAATTAAAAGATGACGATGTTCTCTCTCCCCASCAGAAGCAGGCTCAGGCTTTGTGGTGTGTGAATGGCTTTATGTGGAGCAGGGTGCGGTTGTGGGGAGGGCTGAGGGCCGGAGGGACGGCGCTGGCCTGGCTGGGATGCGGGGGGAGCCGGGGATGCTGCCCCCGAGCCCCTCCTCGCTGGGCAGGGGTCCTCAGTGCCCCTCTCCGGGCAGCATTTGCACCCCTCCGTGTGGAATTTGTGCCYCTCCTTACAGCCCTGCTGGGCAGCGAGTGTGGGCACAGCACGGTGGGATTGTCCCCTTTCACCTCTGATGGATCCCCACGATGCTGGGGGGTCAGGGTGGCAGGGCTGGGGGATTGCTGGGCACTGGGATTCCCATCCCCTTTCATCCCTGATGGATCCCCATGGCACTGGGGTCAGGGTGAAAGAGCTGGGGGTTTGTTTGGTGTTGGGATTCCCATCTCCTTTCACCCCTGATGGATCCCCACGATGCTGGGGGGTCAGGGTGGAAGGGCTGGGGGATCGCTGGGCATTGGGATTCCCATCCCCTTTCACCCCTGATGGATCCCACAGCTCTGGGGATCAGGGTGGAGGGGCTGGGGGATCGCTGTGCAGTGGAATTCCCATATCCTTTCACCCCTGATGGATCCCACAGCGGTGAGGGTCAGGGTGGAGGGGCCGGGGTGCTGTTTGGTGTTGGGAAGGAATGTCCCAGCTGCTGGAAGCAGGTCCTGGCTGGCGAGCCCTGGGGCAGTGTTGGGTGTTGGGATAATCTGGAGACACTCCCTGGTTCCATGGCCCCAGGGCAGCTCTGGGAGCTGGGTTTTTGCAGGTGAGGGAAGGTTTGAGCCATAGGCTGAGTCACTGGTATCTGGTGGAGGGGATGGGGCGCACGTAGCACCCCGTGGTTTCACCCCCAAACCCTCACCTGTGCCACTGCAGCCCTGCTCCCAGCCCAGCAACTCTGCTTATCTCCTCACAGACCTTATCTCCTGCATCTCCCAGCTCCAGTCGGGCAGGTTGGGCAGCTGGCAATCCCAAATCCCAGCGGAGGCACGTGCAGAGCTCCAGGAGCTCGGGGGTGACTCTGCAGCTCCCCAGGAGCACAGGGTGTCCCCACAGCAGAGCTGGCAGTGCCACGGGGCCGTGCCCAGCTGTGTAGGGTGATGCCCTGGCAGCAGGAAGGGATTCCCCCCTCTTTGGGGACAGCACAGAACTTTGGGGGGTGTGGGAAGGGGGTGATGCTTGGGAAAGGGTCAGCGCTGTGCTCGCAGCCATGGCCTGAGGTGGGACAGAGGGTGTGAACGGACACACAAAAGCTGCTCACAGCACAGGGAGCTTTTCTCTGTGCCTCTGTCACCCTCGGGGATGGCACTGAAGCCCCCCAGCTGATCAGGAGGACCGAGAAGCCCGGGAGGGAATGAAAAGTGTGTGCAGGAGAGGCTGAGAGCCCTGTGCCTGGTGGGATCCCGGGGCTGGGCAGAAGGGAAGGCTTTACCCGGGGGATCCTCCTCATCCCCTGGAGCTATGGAAACACCTGGCTGGGGCASAGAGCCTGCTGAAACCGCTCAGAACCGCGTGGATCCGTGTCCTGGGCGGGCAGGGAGCGCCGGGGTGAGCGAGGGTGAGCGTGCCCGGGGGCAGGGAGCCGCAGCCAGCGGAGAAACGCTGATGCATCGCCCCGGACCGGCACCTGCACGCTGGGCTCTGCACAGAACTGCCTCGTCTGCTTTTCTTAATTACGGTTAATTGTCAGAGCCACCCACTGAGCCTCTGCCCTTCCCTGCCCCAGCCCGAAGTAGGGCACGCAAGAAGTAGGTCAGGAGGGTGGCGAAGGWGGAGATTGCACCACCCGGGCTGGGCCGGCTGTGTGGGGCTGGGGAGAGGTGATGGGGTGTGGGGAGAGCTGCTGGGCTGGGGGGAGAGCTGCTGCAGCTGCCTGTGCCCTGTCAGGGCCGTGTCACCCCGGGATGGTCAATGCCAGGCAGGGCAGTGCTCTGGCCACACAGTGCCCAGGATTCTGGCATGGTCAGCTCCCACCATGTCCTGCCCGTGTGTCAGGGTGATCATTGTCCCCCAGGCTGTCCCTGGGCATTGCCAGTCCCCTTTCCCTTGGTGTCCAGGTGGCAGCAGGGTACTGGAGTGGCTTCCTCTGTTAAATCTGCCGGGGTGGCAGCGTGGCTTTTCCTGTCCCTTACAGCTCCCAGCATGTGCCCACTGGCAGGACCTTTTTGGTGCCAGCTTTGACCAAAATCCCATTTTTCATGGCTTTTCCCGTGGCTGGGGGGATCTTCACCCCCTCCAGCCGCAATTCCTCTGTCCCCCCAGCCTGGTGCCACCCCTGGCTCGGGGCTGGGAGCACCCACACGCACTGAGATGTGAGCAGGATCCTGCTGGGCACCCAAGGGAGCAGGGACAGGCTGAGCTGCTGTTTTGGGGGGATCTGTGAGGTGCCTGCAGGGATTGCAGCAGCCAGACGGGATTTTTTGGGCTCCTCCCGGCCCGCCTGGCCACGGAGCCACATCGCTGCAGTGTTTGTTCTTATTTGTTCCCTCGGTCTCTTAGCAGCCCGATTAGAGCTGGTGCAGTGGGAGAGCCGGGGGTTCTCCAGCCCGGGGCTCTTTCCTCTCTCTGCTCTCTCAGCTGGCACCCGCTCCRGGCAGGGGACACGCAGGGACAGGATGGCAGAACCGCGGGGAGGAGATGGCAGTGGCAGCACCCTGGTGACCCCAATTCCTGGTGTTTTTATCTCTCTACCCGTTTCCTTGCCCCAGCCACCCCTCCGAGCTGCAGGCACCGGGGTTTTGTATCCCTGTGGGCAGCACTGCCACAGCCTTGTCCCCGGGATGTGTCACCGCGGATGTCCCGCTGTCCCCTGGGGCCGTGGCACAGCCCGGGTCCTTTCAGAGATGCGGGGTCACCTTTTGGCTGCCCTGGGAGGGAGGGAGTGATGCTGATGGTGACACTGGGGGACAGACACTCCGCGGGATGGGGAGGGTGAGGATGAGCGGCTGGCAGGGCTGGGAGCTCTCCTGTGAGGGATGTGGGGTGAGGTAAAGCTGGGGAGACCCCCAGGGACCCTCCCTGCTCTCTCTGATGTCGGTCCCCTCTCTCCCCAGCGTCCTGGACATCTTCCCCACGCTGGTGGCCCTGGCTGGGGCGGCGCTTCCCCCGCACCGGTGCTTCGATGGCGTGGATGTGTCCCCAGTTCTCTTTGGCTGGTCGGATGTGGGGCACAAGGTGAGGCAGAGCCACCCCCGGTGCCATCCCCTCGGGACAGGACAAAACAGGGGAATGGGGGTGGGAAAAGGCTCAGACTGGCAATAACCATGGGAGCATCATGCCCTGACCAGGAGGAGGAAAGCTGGAGACGGCCGGGTGCAGGACCAGGCTGGGCTTGGGGTATCAGGGTGAAAGGGCTTTTTGGGGTTAATGAAGATTGTTTTGTGCTTGGCTCACAAATCYGGGATTAGAGGTGGAAATGCCTGCAGTTTGGCACCTTCCTGCGTGCCAGAGCAGGGTCTGTGATCCCGGGGTGCTCGTGGCGCAGCACAGCGGCTCCTTCCTGATCACACCAGTGACCCCAGAGGCTCAAACCCAGTTGTACCCATTTATTTATCACACCAGGTCCAGCTGTAGCAAACCCCTCCTTCTCCCAGCTTTGGGGTGACAATATTCCCATGGGACAGCCCATCCCATATCCCACAGCTCTGTCCATACAGCCAGCTGCTGGCAGCTCCTTTAACCCCAAAAAACACAATTTGCAGGGCAAGCAGGGTGGCACATTTATCTCAGAGCTGCACGAGATTTTTTTTCAGAACCAAAGGAAAAAGAAAAAAAGGGTCTTTAAAGCAGCCCCACGGATAAATCCTGATTTTGCTTTTAAAGTGCTCCCTCCTGCAAGCACCGCGAGCCAGCTCCCAGCGGGAGCCTGGATTTGCTTTCCGTGTCCATCAGGGGTTTGGTATTTGCTTTGTATTTATGGAACCCTGCGCTGAACCAGGAGATGGAGAGGGGAAGGGGATGGGATGTGGCCAACAAGATCYGCTCTGCTCCTCGGGATTAACCCTGCTCTGCACGGGCAGGGCTGGGAGAGGGCACCGGGGGACTGCTGGGAATGGTGGTGTGCTGGGAGGGGTTGTTTTTTGGGAATGATGGTTTACTGGGAATGAAGGTTTCCTGGGAGTGATGTTTTGCTGAGAGGGGTTGTTTTTTGGGAATGATGGTTTGGTGGGAATGATAATTTACTGGGAGTGAAGGTTTGCTGGGAGTGATGGTGTGCTGAGAGGGACTGTTTTTTTGGGAATGATGGTTTACTGGGAATGACGGTTTACTGGGAGTGATGTTTTGCTGAGAGGGGCTGCTTTTTTTTGCTGGGAGCAATGGTGTGCTGAGAGGAGTTGATTTTTGGGAATGAAGGTTTGCTGGGAATGATAATTTCCTGGAAGCAAGGTGTGCTGAGAGGGGTTGTTTTTTTGGGAATGAAGATTTGGTAGGAATGAAGATTTCCTGGGAGCAATGGTGTGCTAACAGGGGTTGTTTTTTGAGAATAATTGCTGGGAGCAATGGTTTGCAGAGAATGATGGTTTGCTGGGAATGATGGTTTGCTGGGAGCCGTGGTGTGCTGGAGGGGTTGTTTTTTTTGGGAATGATGGTTTTCAGGGAGAGATGGTTTGCCGAAAGGGATTGTTTTCTGGGAATGATGGTTTGGTGGGAGTGAAGATTTCCTGGGAGTGATGGTTTGCTGAGAGGGGTTGTTTTTTGGGAGTGTTGGTTTGTTTGCAGGCAGTGCTGTTTTGCTGRGTGTCAGGGCACGAGCCAGACCAGCCATTCCCGTGTGGAATTGCCCCCAGGGCTGGAATGGCAGTGCCATGGGATGGGGTGGTCTCAGAGGGGACACACAACCCCCTGGAGTGACCGGGGCAGGGTGTCCCCGCTCCGTCCCCTCTCACCCCCCGCCTGCCAGCGGCCGACAGTGACCCCCTTGCAGGGCTTCCCTCGACACAAATCCTCCTGAAAGCAGCTCCCTCGCTYGCTCCAATGCCCAATTTCCACACATTCCTAATTGGGGTGGCTGGAGCTCCCCGTGTGAGCTGCCCTGGTGACACTGTCCCAGTGTCCTGCTCTGTGCTGGGCGCTGGCACAGCMGGGGACRGGGCTGGGGTGGCACCAACAGCGAGGGCTGTTGGCAGGAAAAACAAACCACATCCTTCAGGGAGCACCAGGGGCAGTAAATCCTTCTGTCCATCAGCTGAATGTGAGCAGCCCATAGCACTGAGCTCAAGGAATGGGTTTTTGGGCAGAAAAAGTTCTTCCCCCCCCCCCCACCCCGCACTTTCCTAATTTTTTTTTATTTATTTATTAGAATAAGAAAGTCACGGATTAATGGAAAAGCTCCAGACCTGGGAATGTTTCTTGAACGGGCTCAATCGAAACAAGCTCCTTAATTATGCAGTAAATTATGACAGATTTGCTAAGTGTGGGGTTTTAAGAGGTTTAGGAACGTGGTTGTTGGTAGGAAGGGAGCTTTGAGTGCCCTTGGCAGCAYCTCAGCTGTGCTGTTAAAGGTGAAGGCAAAGCTTGAAGGCTGAGGCAGATGAATTGGGTYGGTTCCTGGTCCCTTGGCTTCCCAGGGCCTTGAATATTTGCTGATTCCTGCTTTGGAGCCCTTTCATCCTGCCCGAGGAGTGCCAGCAGGAGGGGATTGTGCAGAATCACACTGCACCACCTCTTCCACCTCACACCCTCCTTCTTTCTCCCCTAAAACACAAAGATCAAACCCATTCCAAAAGGTGATGTTTTAACAAATAATTTACCTTATAATGTATGCTGATAGAGGAAACTGAGAGCGTTTGGACATCACCCCTTACCCTGAATGCTGCCATTTCTTGGATGAGATTCCAACTGTCCCTGATATTGTGGCTACATCTGGACTGGGCAGGGTGGGATGGACACCTCTGGGTGCCTGGTATGCTCTGTGCCAGGCACTTTTGGGATGGATATCTTGGGGTGCTCGGGATGCCTGGAATGATCTGCCAGGCAGTTTTGGGATGGATCTCTGGGGTGCCCAGGGTTCCTGGGATGCTCTGTGCCAGGCAGTTTTGGG